AAAAAAAAAACCAAAAAACAAAAATTAGCCAGGCATGTAGTCCCAGCTACAGTGTGCCTGTAATCCCAGCTACTCGGGAGGCTGAGGCAGGAGAAACACTTGAACCCGAGAGGTAGAGGTTGCAGTGAGCCAAGATCATGCCACTGCACTCCAGCCTGGGTGACAATACAAGACTGTGTCTAAAAAAAAAAAAAGAAAAAAGAAAATAGAAGGCATCTATCCAAATCACAAGGTTAAAAGAGATAAGGCATGTGAGTGAACTAAGTGAAATAAAGCGAGTCACTCAATGTAGGTTTCTTCTTCCTCCCAGTGAAGGGGCCCCTGTAAGAGATCCCTGGATCTGTCCAATCGGTACCTGGAAAGGTTATTACCTGTAGGATCCTTACAGCCACACATGGCACACTCTGTGATCACTACCACCATCTTTGTTGCTATTATTTATGATCATGATTATATAATGGTTTTGTTTTTTTGAGCCACTGCACCCGGCCTGTATGTTTCTAACCTTCACAACAACCCCAATGTAAATACCAGCTGTTTTGAATCCTTCAGCCTGTGCCACATAAGCAGAGACCCAAAAACATTGTGTAACCTCAGTTCAAGGTCCAGAACTTTGGCCCCTAACCTCCTGCGGGTCTATGGATTTTTTTTTTTTTTTTTTTTTGAGACGAAGTCTTGGTTTATCACCCAGACTTCCAGGCTGGAGTGCAATGGCATGATCTCGGCTCACTGCAACCTCCACCTCCTGGGTTCAAGCGATTCTCCTGTCTCAGCCTCCCCAGTAGCTGGAATTACAGACATACATCACCACGCCCGGCTAATTTTTGTATTTTCAGTATAGACGGGATTTCACCATGTTGGCCAGGCTGGTCTTGAATTCCTGACCTCAAAGTGCTGGGATTACAGGTTTGAGCTACCACGCCCGGCAGGGCCTACGGATATTAGCATAGCCAGGACTTCAATTTTCTCTATTCTGAGAGTCAGGCCAACAGAGGAGAAGGTAAAATCACCACGGTGCTCAAGCACTGGGGGCCTGGCACACACCAGGCGCCCAGCATGCCCACAGGAGTGGTCTGCACGGCTTCTAAGCTTCCTTCTTAGAACTCCAATCTGATCAATGAGCTAACTCTGCCCCAGCCCCTCAGTCCCTCCCTGCAATCCGTCTACCTCTGCAGACATCTTCTTCCAAGGAACCTCGCCTGGGAGACCCACATCTGAGATAGCCATCGCGGCGTCTAGAGCCGACGTGCGTGTCGCTTCTTTATACTGCCAGAGCCCCGCCTCGATTGGCCTTTAAATTTAGTGGGCGGAGAGAGGCGGGGCTCAGGCCAGGCCACATCCCGATCAGCCACGTCCATCCCCCTGATTACTGGGCCCTCCCAGTCCCTGGGCGCACTTCCCGGATCCCTCCCACGAGGGGGCGGGCTGTGGTCAAATCTCCCGCCAGGTCGGCGGCCGGGCGCTGATTGGCCCCAGGGCAGCGGGACCGACTCGTGATTGGCCAGCACGCCGTGGTTTAAAGCGGGTGGCGCGGGATCCAGGGACTTACTGCGGGACCACGGTGGAGAACCCTTGGATCCGTGAACTTCCCGGAGGCGCCATGAGTTGCATTAACCTGCCCACCGTGCTGCCCGGCTCCCCCAGCAAGACCCGGGGGCAGATCCAGGTGCGGGGGTCAGCCCTGCGCGTGACTGGGGATGAGGGGGTCGTGGTGATAGCCTGTGCCCCGGCATCCGCGCAGGGCGGGCCCCCAAATGACCTCATCTTCTCTCCTAGGTGATTCTCGGGCCGATGTTTTCAGGAAAAAGGTAATGGCTTCGCGGGGCTGGGGTGGATCTCCTTCTTCTTCTCCGGGGACCCCTGTCCCTTCCCTTCCCCTAGGACCAGCACAGCTTCCTACAGCTCCCGCCCGGCATTCTCCTCCTCCCTTGAATTCGGTCCAGGAGGAAGTCTCCGCCCGCTTCTGCCCCGGCCAAGCCCCTTCTCCTGTGTGCACGCCACTCCCTCCTGGAGCTGGTCACAGCTGGTTACAGCTTAGCACTCCTCCCCACCGAGTCCTCTGAGAAGGTGGCAACCAGTTGTGTCCACTGTGGGCCAGGCCTTTTTGTACACCCCTATTCAATGTGGTTGTTTCCTTATAAGGCCAAGGAAACGCAGTCGCTTTCTGCACCAAGGAGTCTGAAGCCATGGAGCCTCTGCTCTCCTGAGGTGACAGAACCATTCCCTGACCCAGGTGGGGCTAGTTAGTGAGTTTCCTAAGTAAACTACCCACCCACCATTCTTTTTGTTTTGTTTTGTTCTTGTAGAGATAGGATCTTGCTTTGTTGCCCAGGCTGGTCTCAAACTCCTGGGCTCAAGCAGTTCTCTCACCTCAGCCACCCAAGTAGCTGGGACTACAGGCGTGCACCCCCTACCCAGCTAATTTTACTTTATTTTTGTAGAGCTGGGGTCTTGCTATGTTGCCCAAGCTGGTCTTGAACTCCTGGTCTCAAGCGATCCTCCTGCTTCGGCCTCCCAAAGTGCTGGGATTACAGACGTTAGCCACCATGCCCTGCCCCAACATTATTTTATGGCCCTGGGGATCACTTCAGCTCAAACTCCTTGCTCAGGATGATGAGGCTCAGATTTGGACTTCTTGGATGCAGAAGCAAGTGCTTTTGACACTGCACACAAAGGCTTTCTGAAATTAATTTAGAGAAGCTCTATGCCGGGCGTGGTGGCCCACGCCTTTAATCCCAGCAGTTTGGATTGCTGAGGTGCGTTGGTCACTTGAGGTTAGGAGTTTGAGACCACCCTGGTCAATGTGGTGAAACCACGTCTCTACTGAAAAAAATACAAAAATTATCTGGGCATGGTGGGAGGCTCCTGTAATCCCAGCTACTCGGGAGGTTGAGGCAGGAGAATCTCTTGAACCCGGAAGGCAGGGGTTGCAGTGAGCTGAGATTGCGCTAATGCACTCTAACCTAGGCCACATAGCGAGACTCTATCTCAAAAAAAAGAAAGAAAAGAAAAAAGAAAAGCTCTGAACTCTGGGAACAACTCTGGAATGAGGTTACTTTGGAATGCAGTCGCAGGTCCCCCTCTACATGTAGCCTTTGCCTCTGCCTTCCCCATTACATCCTGGAGAAGGTTACTCCTCCCACACTTCCTGGGACCACTTGAGTACCATTCCTGGACCTCTTCCCCATAGGGAATTCTGACTTCCAACCCTCTTTGTAGGGATATTACACCCTGCCTGCTCTGCCCTGCTCTTTTCCGGCTGTGGTGGGCTCAGTCTGCAGAACACTAGGGGCTACGAGGAGCCAGGCTTATCGAGGAGGGTTCTCCTCCCACTCCTCCTGCTGTGGACCTCACCTGACCCTCTCTCCTCTTGCAGCACAGAGTTGATGAGACGTGTCCGTCGCTTCCAGGTTGCTCAATACAAGTGCCTGGTGATCAAGTATGCCAAAGACACTCGCTACAGCAGCAGCTTCTGCACACATGACCGGTCAGTCCCTGCCCCTTGCAGTCCTGTCCAGTGGAAAATCACAAGGCACAGGACACACTGTTAGAACTGTCTTTAGTGGGGATGGTTAATCACGCTGACCTGGCATTGAACGATTCAAATCAGCACACTTTCCAAGGTGCTTGGCAAGGCAGCGCACACTCTCCATTCTCTGGGCTGGAGCCAGTGGTTCTCCACTGCGGGTGATTTTGCCCCCAGGGTCCATTTGACAATGTCTGAAGACGTTTCTAGTTGTTGCAACCGGAGAGGGGAGGGGATGCTGCTGGGCTTTCATGTGTAGAGATCAGGGACACTGCTGCTAAGGGTCCTGCAGTGCACAGGACGGCCCCCATGCAAGAATGAGCTGACCCCGAATGTCACGAACCTGCCAACGTTCAGAAACTCTGCTGTAGGGATTCAGCTTCACACAGGCTGCAAACTGGTTTGATTTGGCCTGCACACAGATTTTTGTTTAATTTTTTAGTTGTCCATTGTTGGCTGGGTCCTGGTCACCTGGCAGCCTTCACGCTGCCTCTTTTTATGTGTAGCTATTTGAGATCGCTGGACATTTCCACCTGCAACCTCAGGTTGGGAGTTAAATTCACTTCCTTGGCAGCAGACGTGGGCCTGGTGTTTCTGAGCCTGAGACGCTTTGCTTGGTCCTCTGGACTTGTCCACCTGGGCACCCAGTGGCAAAGCCATGCTGTACCACACATTATAGAGCTTGCGGCCACAGAGCCCTTGCTGGGAGCTGTATCTGAGAGTCGCTACAGCTGTGCAGAGAATGCATCCACCCGGCATGTGGCCTTCGGTGGGAGCTGAGGGGCTCCTGAAGCCAGACGGTGGTGGAGTGGAGGGTGCTTGGGGCTTGGAGTTGCGTGTGGGGATTTAACCGTACTTCCTGGCCGTGCTGTCTGATGTAGGTCATTTACTTTTCCAAATTTGCTTCCTCATTCCTAAGATGCGATGTCCACAGCACAGGGTGGTGTTACACCTGGCGGGGACAGGGAAAGCAGAGGAGGTCACTCCGTTCCAGCTGTTGGAAGTGCAACTTCTGGAGTCAGTCAGAGCCAGGATTAAATATGAGCTCTGCCTGTGTGTCACAAGTCATTTCTAACACAGAGATGGTCACAGAGGCCAAGGCCAAGGCTGGGCCAGCAGCATTGACAGCTCCAGAGAGGCTGCCCTTGCAGGGCCCACAGCTGGCCTCCCACGTGCCCTCACTTTGTCTTTCTCTGTTTAGGGAGGGAAGAGGGAATTTAAAATGCACAAAATACTATTTCACACGTTTTTTCCAGAACTCGAAGTAGGATTATAGCAAGGTAATCACGAAACAATAGTTGTCAAACGTGGTTTTTTTGTTAGTTTGTTGTTTGTTTTTGAGACAGGGTCTCTCTCTATCACGCAGGCTGGAGTGTAGTGGTTCAATCATAGCTTACTGTTATGTGACCCCCAAACCCTTGGGCTCAAGTAATCCTCCCACCTCAGCCCCCTGAGTAGGCGGGACTACAGGTGCACACCACCACACACAGCTGATTTTTAGATTTTTTGTCGCATAGTGTCTCGCTGGCCTCGACCCAGGCTGGTCTTGAACTCCTGAGTTCAAATGATCCTCCCATCTTGGCCTCCCCGAAGTGCTAAGATTACAGGCATGAGCTGCTGTGTCTGGCCAGAATACAGGATTTTAAAAATTTATATTTTGTAACATAATTGATATAAAGACAAATATAACCCAGGCCCAGTTCTAGTTATTCATTCTTCTGAATTTTAAAAGGAAACTTGGCTGACCCCTAATGGTATCATGGGCCCTGGTGACTGATGAAGTTGGCCTTGTCTGCCGAACAGTGGAAGAGTTTTTAGTCTCGTTGAGCTTTGTACTGGACATTACTAATTTCTAATCCAAAACATCAAGTGAAGTGGCTTGTATAAATAACTGGTTTTCCTCTGGGAGGTTAAGGCGGGTGGATCACTTAAAAGTTAGGAGTTTGAGACCAGCCTGGCCAACATGGTGAAACCCCATCTCTGCTAAAAATGCAAAAAGTAGCTGGGTGTGATGGTGTGTGCCTGTAGTCCCAGCTACTCTTGAGGCTGAGGTGGGAGAATCGCTTGAGCCCCTTGAGAATTGGGAGGTGGAGATTGCAGTGAGCTGAGATGGCGCCACTGCACTCCAGCCTGGGCGGCAGAGCAAGACTGTGTCTCAAAAAAAAAAAAAATAACTGGTTTTCTGAACGAGGGCCTTTCCCATAGGTGCTAACTTCTCAAAGCCCGGCTGGGTGAACACTGAGCCTGCTTTGCAGGTAGCGAGTGGTCGCGACAGTGCCATTCCCTGGCCTCTGCATTCTGGCTTCTGGCCTCCCTGTGCCTGCTCACGCTCTGGCTTTCTCTTCCCAGGAACACCATGGAGGCGCTGCCCGCCTGCCTGCTCCGAGACGCGGCCCAGGAGGCCCTGGGCGTGGCTGTCATAGGCATCGACGAGGGGCAGTTTGTAAGTCGGCTTGTCCTGGTATCACTCTTCCTGACAGCTCCCGCTCTGTCCTCCGTTTTCCGCCGCTGACTTGGAGGTTATCTGATCTTTTAGTAAAACAACAAAGTTAAATAGCTACAACCCGTGTTGGAATACCCTCTGAAGGCCCCCTTCTAGTTTCCCTGTCATAGTCATGTAGGATTCATTCTACTTTTTTTTTTTTGAGATGGAGTTTCACTCTTGTTGCCCAGGCTGGAGGGCAATGGCGCCATCTCACTGCAAACTTCGCTTCCCGGGTTCAGGCAATTCTGTCTTGTCTCGGACTCCCAAGTAGCTGTGATTACAGGCATGCGCCAGCACGCCTGGCTAATTTTATATTTTTAGTAGAGACGGGGTTTCTCCATGTTGGTCAAGCTGGTCTCAAACTCCCAACCTCAGGTGATCCACCCCCCCCTCGGACTCCCAAAGCCCTGGGATTACAGGTGTGACTTACCGCACCTGGCCATTTTACCTTTATAAAAAATATATATCTATTTACTGGCAAGATGCAGTGACTCACACTTGTAATCTCAGCCTTTGGGAGGCCAAGGTGGACAGATCGCTTGAGCTCAGGAGTTGGAGACTCACGTGGGCAACATAATAAAACTCCATCTCTACAAAAAAAAAAAAAAATCGCCAGTCATAGCGGCGCACACCTGTGGTCCCTGCTACTCAGAAGGGTGAGGCAGAAGGATGGAGCCTGGGAGGTCGAGGCTACAGTGAGTAGTGATAGCGCCACTGCACTCCAGCCTGGGCGACAAGGCCAGACCCTGTCTCAAAAAAAAAAAAAAAAAAAAAAGGAAGGTGGGGAGTAGTGTTTGGTTTGCCTCATGGTTCCTTTCGCTTGTTTCTTATACGTTTATTTTCTTGTTGTTGAAGTACATTTTTTAGTAGTTTTTGCAGCCAGGATGTATAGATGGAAAGCTGCCAGGCTTTGTATGGAAATCTTTCTTTTGTCCTCTAGTTTAAGCTGGGCAGCAAGGGATAGGTTGATTTTGTGTAGGTTTTTTTGTTTTTGTTTTTGAGACGGAGTCTTACTCTGTCACCCAGGCTGGAGTGCAATGGCACGATCTCAGCTCATTGCAACCTCTGCCTCCCGGATTCAAGCGATTCTCCCACCTCAGCCTCCCAAGTAGCTGGGATTACAGGCACCCACCATCGTGTGTGGCTAATTTTTGTAGAGATGATGGTTCACCATGTTGGCCAGGCTGGTCTTGAACTCCTGACCTCAGGTGATCCACCCGCCTTGGCTTCCCAAAGTGTTGTGATTACAGGCGTGAGCCACCACGCCCAGCCTTTTTTTTGAGATGGAGTGTCTTGCTCTGTTGCCCTGGTTGGAGTGTATTGACATGATCTTAGCTCACAGCAATGTCCGCCTTCTGGGTTCAAGCAATTATCCTGCCTCAGCCTCCTGAGTAGCTGGGATCACAGGTGCGCACCACCATGCCCAGCTCATTTTTGTATTTTTAGTAGAGATGGGGTTTCACCCTGTTGGCCAGGCTGGTCTGGAACTCCTGACCTCAGGTGATCCACCTGCCTCGGCCTCCCAAATTGCTGGGATTACGGGCGTGAGCCACCACGCCCAGCCTTGATCTTGTTGCTTTGAAGAGTGGCAGCGCTGGTCGTTGTGTTTTTGCTCAGGGGAAGGCTGCCATCTCTCTAATGTTACCTCTGGTCAGGTATTCTATCTGTTCTCTCTCAGCACAATGAGTCTAGGGTAAGCTTTGTTTTCGTTTATCCTGCTTTATAGCTGGTGTGCCTTTTCATTTCTGGGGAAGGAATGAAGCCATTATCACTTCAGGGCTTTCTCTCCTCATCCCTCTCTGAGGCGTTCTGGGTTCCATCTTCCAAAGTGTGTTTTGTTTCAATGACTATTTTTGTATCTGCTGCTCTAATTCATCATCCTCCATTTTGACAAGTTACTGTTGGGTTATTTTTAAATTTACGCTGTTCCTTCCGTTATGTTTCTGAAAATTTTTTCTTAGACTTTTCCAGATTTTTCTGTTTCCTCAGGAACACATTCTGCAGTTGAGTTTCTGGGTTATTTTCTGTTATCTTAGTTTTTCTTTCTCTGCTTTGGAGTTTTTTATTTTTGTTAGTTTATCACAAATGAATGAAACCGAAACTGTCTCCAAGGGGCTCAGCAGACTTGACCTCTTAGGTACTTTTAGGGTTGCCTCAAAGTACACAATGTGGTGGTTTGATATAAACATAACAGGAATTTATTTCTCACTCACAGACCCCTACATGGTTCCAAGCCGGTTGACGGGGAGGCCGCCACGAGGCGGCTTAGGTCACCCTGGCTGGCTGTATACAGACACGGAAGGGGAGAGGCATGCCCCATGGTGTGAGGTTTTCATGGGCCAGGCCAGAAGCTGCAAATGTCACCTCTGCTGATCTTTCAAAGACTAAAACCTGGGCACAGGGCCACCTATACGTTTAGTATACGTAGTCCAGTTCTCTTTTTGTTTGTTTTTGAAACAGAATCTCACTCTGTGGCCCAGGCTGGAGTGCAGTGGCGCAATCTCAGCTCACTGCAACCTCCATCTCCCAGGTTCCAGTGATTTTCCCGCCTCAGCCTCCCGAGTAGCTGGGATTACAGGCTCCTGCCACCATGCCCGGCTAACATTTTGTATTTTTAGTAGAGACGGGGTTTCGCCATGTTGACCAGGGTGGTCTCGAACTCCTGACCTCAGGTGATCCTCCTGCCTCAGCCTCCCCAAGTGCTGGGATTACAGGTATGAGCCACCGTGCCTGGCCACACTTAGTCTAGTTCTATACCCTGGACTGTACACTTAGTCTAGTTCTCTACCCTGGAGGAAGAATACATGAGTTTGTTGGTGAGTGCTTCGAGATCTCTAGCCACCTTGCCTCCCAACACAGAGCCAGGCTGCTCCGGCTGGAATACCCTGCCCGGACATCACAGGGCCTGTCCCCTCTGCAAGCCAGTCCTGCCTTCCTGGTTCTGTTCTTGCCCAACATTCTGTATGAGTCACAGCTACAAATTCCATTCCCATCGGGAGGCTGATGGGCCCTTCCCCTGAGCGGGGCATCTGCCCTGTGGAGTTCAGGGACTCACTCCAGGCTGCCAGTGTCCGCTCTGGGTTCCCAACCACCCGGCAGCTGGCATCTCCCTGCCTGGGTGTGCCCATTCCGTTTTTGACCTTCAGAGGTGCGCCTCTGAGCACGCCCCTGCCTCTGCGTACATGGAGACGTTGTTGCTGCCCCGTGGTTGAGGGACTCCAGGCGAGAAAGTGAGCCCAGGCTGGGAACAGGGCTGCAGCTGTTCTCTTTTGTTGTCAAACCATGGCCTCGGAATGCATCCACGGATTTTGCATCAGCTTTGGGGACATGGCCCTCTCAAAACAAGGAAGCTTCAGCTTTGGCAAGGCTCTCCCTCCTTCAGACCTGCCCCTGTGAGTTGTTCAGTAGCTCTGTTCTCCTGGCTCTGTGTAAACCTTGTTGACAGAGGCTGACCCAGACCTTCCAGGCACAAACCTTTCCCTTCTCCTTTCTCCTTCCTTCACATCCAAATGCCCCGAGTCAGGAGCCAGCGTATTAAGTCCTGTCCCCTGTTCAGCCTGTGGGAGGGATTTCTCCGTCTACTTCCTCCCTGGCCAACAAGTAAAACTTGAGTTCATTCAGTGAGTATTACACCCTATCCAGACATCAGCATTCTGCCCTGGCCTCTGTGTGTCCTTGTTCTCTTCAAGAAGTTCAAGGTCACCAGCCTGACCAACCTGGAGAAACCCCGTCTCTACTAAAAATACACAATTAGCCGGGCATGGTGGTGCATGCCTGTAATCCCAGCTACTCGGGAGGCTGAGGCAGGAGAACCGCTTGAACCCGGGAGGTGGAGGTTGCAGTGAGCAGAGATTGCGCCACTGCACTGCAGCCTGGGCAGCAACAAGAGCAAAACTCTGTCTCAAAAAAAAAAAAAAAAAAAGGAAGTTCAGGGTCTTCCCATTGCAAGCAGTTCTAGATGGAGGAGAGGGGTTCCCAGCACGGGACCCAGCAGAAGGACTGTCCTTCGTTCCTTCATCGTCTACCTGGACAGTGGCTGAAGCCCGGCCTAACCTGCCTTGTTTCTGTTTTCTGGGTCAGCAGGGAAAGCCTCTCACAGAGTAGCCACCGTGCCGTCCTGAGGAAGGCCCTGGGTCAGAAGCTCCTGTGCTTCTTTGTACCCCGCGAGAGACGCAGAGGTGCCCACGCTGCTTTGTAGAAACTGTTGGCATCCAAGAGAGATTCACCTGGAAAACCTGAAGCTACTAGCTGGGGGTGCTGTGCTTCAGATGCTGGTGGTGGGTGGGAACCCTGGCCCCCGTGCCACCCCCACGTGCTCATCAACAGCTGCACAGTGTGTGGCGGGCTCGCAGGGTTGCTTCGCAATAGTAGGAGCTCTGATTTATTTTTTTTAACTTTTCTTCTGGCTGGGCACGGTGGCTCACGCCTGTAATCCCAGCACTTTGGGAGGCCGAGGCGGGTGGATCACTTGAGGTCAGGAGTTTGAGACCAGCCGGGCCAACATAGTGAAACCCCATCTCTACTAAAAATACAAAAATTAGCCAGGCGTGGTGGCGCCCACCTGTAATTCCAGCTACTTGGGAGGCAGAGGCACGAGAATCACTTGAACCTGGGAGGCAGAGGTTGCAGTGAGCCAAGATCATGCTACTGCATTCCAGCCTGGATGACAGAGTATGACTCTGTCTCAAAAAAAAAAAAAAAAAAACCTTTTTGTGTTTTCTGTTCTACTACACAAGTAACACAGGTTGAGTATTCCTTATCCTAAATGCCTGGGACCAGAAGTGTTTCCGATTTCAGGTTTTGGAATATTTGCAGGTTCATAATATAATGAGACCTTGGGAATGAGCCCCAAGTGTAAACACAAAATCCATTTATGTTTTATAGACATCTTATGCACATAGCCTGAGAGTAATTTTATGTATTTTGTCATTTGGGCGTGAGCCACAGTTTTGACAGTGACCTGTCCCATGAGGTCAGGTGTGGAATTTTCTACTTGTGGTGGGCGCTTGAAAAGTTTCAGATTTTGGAGCCTTTCGGGTTAGAGATGTGCAACCTTTAATAAGTTTAATCTGGCCGGGCGCAGTGGCTCACACCTGTAATCCCAGCACTTTGGGAGGCCAAGGCGGGCAGATCACGGCTAACACAGTGAAACCCCGTCTCTACTAAAAGTACAAAAAATTAGCCAGGTGTGGTGGTGGGCTCCTGTGGTCCCAGCTACTCTGGAGGCTGAGGCAGGAGAATGGCATGAACCCGGGAGGCGAAGCTTGCAGTGAGCCAAGATCGCGCCACTGCACTCCAGCCTGGGTGACAGAGTGAGACTCCGTCTCAAAAAAAGCAAGTTCGTAATTCATATAAGTTACCACAGCCCAAGTCTCCTAAGCCAGAGACCTCTAAGAACACCCCTTGAGTTGAACAACTCTGGTTTGTTTATTTATTTAGAGACAGGCTCTCTATGTTGCTCAGGCTCAACTGCAATGGCGTGATCTCAGCTCACTGCAACTTCTGCCTCCTGGGTTCAAGCAATTCTTGTGCCTCAGCCTCTCAAGTAGCTGGGATTACAGGCATGCGTTGCCACACCCAGCTAATTTTTGTATTTTTAGTAGAGACGGGATTTTGCCATGTTGGCCAGGCTGGTCTCGAACTCCTGACCTCAGGTGATCTGCCCGCCTCGGCCTCCCAAAGTGCTGGGATTACAGGTGTGAGCTACTGCACCCGGCCAAAGTTTTATTTCACATGTACTCTTTATTTCCTGGGACTGCCATAGCACAGTACCACAGGCTGGGAAAGGGAGCAACAGAGACATCCTCTCACAACTTCGGAGGCTGGATGTCCAAGATCAAGGTGTTGGCAGGGCTGGTTCCTTCTCAGGGCTGCAAGGGAGGGACTGTTCCTTGCTTGTAGGTGGCGTCTTCTCCCTGTCTTCACGTTGTTCTCCTGTGTGTGTCTGTGTCCAGGTTTCCCTTTTTATTTTTAAACTTTTTGTTTGTTTTTATTTTTTGAGACAGAGTATCACTCTGTCACCCAGGCTAGAGTGCAGTGGCAGGATCTTGGCTCACTGCAGCCTTCACCTCCTGGGTTCAAGCAATTCTGCCTCAGCCTCCTGAGTAGCTAGGATTACAGGCATGCGCCCCCAGGCCCACCTCATTTTTGTATTTTTAGCAGAGACGGGATTTAATCCTTGGCCAGGCTGGTCTTGAACTTCTGACCTCAGGTGATCTATCCACCTTGGCCTCCCAAAGTGCTGGGATTACAGTTATGAGCCACTGTGATTTCCCTTTTTATAAGGACACTAGTCATTGGATTAGAACCTACCCCGATCACTCCACTTTGTAAGACCTTATCTCCAAATGAGGTCACATTCACAGATATTCTGGGTTAGGACATCAGCATATGAATTTGGCGGGGTGGGGGACACAATTCAAACCATAACGTCCCCTAAACACAAGGGACAAAACCACCAACAGCAACAGCATGACTGCCAGGGCCCACTTTGAAACGTCCCAAACAACTCGGATACCTCCATCTTTATCTCCAAGGCCGCTGGTTGCCCAGGGACCTCTGCTGGGGTTAGGGTTTAATGCTTACCTGGGAGAGGGGTGGCGTCTGCACTGGAGGAGGACGCCACCGGGGGAGGAAGTGCCAGGTGGAGTGGGGGCTGAGGACCTTCCTCTGTCCTGAAACCCTGAGGTGGGAGAGTCTGGGGTCTGCTTTCCACCCTCATGTGGAGGGTTAAGGAGCAAGGTTCTCAACTCAGGAGGTTCTTCCCCTCTCGATTCCCACCCAGGGGACATTTCACAACAACTAGAAACAATTTTGTCACAACTGGGGGGTGGGAGGCATGCTCCTGGCATCTATCTAATGGGTGGGGGCAAGGGACGCAGCTAACACCCTACAGTGCACAGGACACAGTGAGATCCAGCCTCAAATGGCAGCGATGGCAGCATCAGCCCTCCAGGGGGCGAGCCCCTGGTGCAGGAGGTGTGCTGGCCCACAGCTTCTTGCAGGCTGGGAGCTGCATTTTTGTGACATGTGATGAGTCCTCAGAGAAAAAGAGGGAATGAGTGCATGGCGGGGAGGGGCCCCGGCGTGCCGGAGTCTCTGGATTTCCTTCTCCAGAGGCCCCTGCAGTCAGCTGAGCACAATCAGTCACGTAGGGCTTCGCTTGGATCCAACTGGAATTTTGCAAGCCACCCCTTAGTCCTTGCCTTGCTAAGCCCTCATGTCCCAATAACCTCGAACCTCAGTACCTGGCTGAGAAAGCCTGAGTGGCCCCGAGAGAGAGACCCTGCACCCAAGGACAAGGACATCCCCACTTCACCCAACCCAGAGGCCAGTCTGGACATATGAATTCAACCAGCTAAGAGTGATATGATTGATTGATGAGAATCACCAAAGCACTTGCCAGAGTTTGAGCTTCTCCCTGGGCCAAAGTGAAGTTTGATTTACGCAGTAAATGTGCTCCGTGCAGGCCTGATACTTAGAAGGCTGTGCTGTGTCATCCTGCTCTGTAAATGGCCAGTAGGACCCCTGCCCCTTCTCAAAGCACATTACCTGTTTAAAAAGGGGGAGGCAAGAGCACAAAATACCCACCCATTCACCAAAGAGCCTGTATATAACTTAGGGTCTTCCATCGTTAAACAACAGGACCTGGCTGGGTATGGTGTCTCACGCCTGTAATCCCTGCACTTTGGGAAGCCGAGGAGGGCAGATCATGAGGTCAGGAGTTTGAGACCAGCCTGACCAACATGGTGAAACCCTGTCTCTACTAAAAATACAAAAATCAGCTGGGCATGGTAGCAGTCCCCTGTAATCCCAGCTACTCGGGAGCCGGAGGCAGGAGAATCGCTTGAACTCGGGAGGCGGAGGTTGCAGTGAGTCGAGATCACACCACTGCCCTCCAGCCTGGGCGAAAGAGTGAAACTCATCTCAAAAAAAAAAAAAAAAAAAAAACAGAACCTTCCTTGCTCTTAGTGAAGAGGAAACAGGTTCAGAGACGTTAATTCATTGCCAAGGTCACACAGATAATGGGTCCAACGAAGAGCAGTGTCCGAGCTCAAGGCAGCAGGCCTTTGGCCGCTGCAGTGTTAAACAGCACAGCTGGTGTGGAAGTCCGATGCTGAGTCCTGGGGACCTGGACTTGGAGCGGAAGGTGGCTGCAGGGGGAAGGGGCTGCACAGTTGTGGATACGCCTGTCATCTGCTGGGAGGGCACACAGAGGGACACAGTCCCCCGGGCTGTGGAGAGGGAAAGGGCTGCGCAGTTGTGGATATGGCTGTTATTGCTGGGAGGGCACACAGAGGGACACAGTCCCCCGGGCTGTGGAGCCTCGTGGGAGAGTTGCTCCAGGCCAAAGGGCCGGAGTTGTCAGATGTGGCAGCATCTTCGCTGGGGATCCAGGGAGCTGCTGCTGGGGTGGAAGCTCACGCTTTCTCCCCCTGCCCTTTCCAGTTCCCTGACATCGTGGAGTTCTGCGAGGCCATGGCCAACGCTGGGAAGACTGTAATTGTGGCTGCACTGGATGGGACATTCCAGAGGAAGGTAAAGCGTCTGATCCAGGTCTGGAGCTGGGATCCAGGAGGGGAAGGGGCTTCTGGGCGGGTACACAGACACCAGCTCTGGGTGACCAGGACTCAGCCACCACAGGGGTATGGCCGAGCTGCTCAGACCAGGCCTTGTCTGAGCCCAGGGACTCCGTGGTCTGTGCAGACTGGTTCCATCTGTCTGGCAGGTGCTTTGAATCAGCAGAGGGACAGAGCTGGGCATGGTGCCCTGGGGGTCGGGGGAAGGACTCCGGTCAGAGAGAACTCCTGGCTTTAGTGCTTGTGAATCAGAGGGTTTAAAAGAAAAACCTGCCTGGTGAGGTGGCTGAGCGCCTGCTGTCCTTCCCTGGGAGCACAGCCATTCGGGACCATCCTCAACCTGGTGCCGCTGGCCGAGAGCGTGGTGAAGCTGACCGCGGTGTGCATGGAGTGCTTCCGGGAAGCCGCCTATACCAAGAGGCTCGGCACAGAGAAGGAGGTAGCTCCACCTGCCTTCCCTGCCTTCCCTGCGGCCGGCGGGGTGGGGGTGTGGCTCTGCCTCCTTCCTGTCCTGGCCCTTCACCTGTCCTCTGTCCCTGCCAGGTCGAGGTGATTGGGGGAGCAGACAAGTACCACTCAGTGTGTCGGCTCTGCTACTTCAAGAAGGCCTCTGGCCAGCCTGCCGGGCCGGACAACAAAGAGAACTGCCCAGTGCCAGGAAAGCCAGGGGAGGCCGTGGCTGCCAGGAAGCTCTTTGCCCCACAGCAGATTCTACAGTGCAGCCCCGCCAACTGAGAGGCCTGCGAGGGCCGCCCGCTCCCTTCCTGCCGCTGCTGCCCAGCGGACACTGCCCCACGTGCTGCCTGGCCACTCCAGGAGGAAGCTGGGAGGCGTGGAGGGTGACCACACCTTGGCCTTCTGGGAAGTCTTTGTGTGGCTGCCCCACCTGCCACATACTCCCTCCTCTCCTACCCACTGGCCTGCTTAAAGCTTCCCTCTCGGCTGCTGGGACGATCACCCAGGCTGGAGCTGGCCCCACTTGGTGGCCTGGGATCTGGCACACTCCCCCTCCTTTGGGTGAGGGACAGGGCCACACGCTGTTGACATAAGCCTGCTTCTTCCTCTCTGCGGCTTTCACTGCTGAGTTTCTGTTCTTCCTGGGAAGCTGCACCAGCACCTTTGAGCCTTGGGCCACACTGAGGCTTAGGCCCTTCTTCCTGGGACCGGCTCCTGCCCTCCCCTGAGGATGGCCTGGACTCACGCCCTCTTGCTTCCTTTTGGGCTCAAAGCCCTTCTTACCTCTGTTGATGGTTTCCACAGGAACAACAGCATCTTTCACCAAGATGGGTGGCACCAACCTTGCTGGGACTTGGATCCCAGGGGCTTACCTCTTCAAGTGGGGAGACAGGGCAGGGTCCATGCCTCTGCTGTAGTGTATGAAATTAACTAATTCAAAATTCACTGATTGGTGGATGCACATTTCTCTTTAACCTGGGCTTCCCTGGGTCTCATGGACAGCTTCAGCTTGATTTGGGTGGGGATTTTCTTCCAGATCTTTTTGTTTTCTTTTGAGACAGGGTCTCACTCTGTTGCCCAGGCTGGAGTGCAGTGGTGCAATCCCTGCTCACTGCAGCCTCTGCTTCCCCAGTTCAAGTGATTCTCCCCAATTAGCCTCCCAAGTAGCCGGTATTACAGGCATGCACCACCACACCTCGCTAATTTTTGTATTTTTAGTAGAGATGAGGTTTCACCATGTTGGCCAGGCTGGTCTTGAACTCCCGGCCTCAAGTGATCCACCTGCCTCGGCCTCCCAAAGTGCTGGGATTACAGGCGTGAGGCACTGCGCCTGGCCCCCAGATCTTTTTGTAGTAACTGATGTCTTAACCACAACCCTTTAACTGAGAAATGGTCATGGGGCGTGTCCTAAGAGGAACATCATCTGCTTCCTGTCTGGGCCAGAGTCAGGACAAAAACGGTGTGCAGAGGAGCCCGGGGCCCAGTTGGAAGGATGAGGCACTGTCCTGTCCCTGGGCCTGCAAGGTCAGGTTTTGTTTGTGAAACAAACTCTTGGTAATTCAGGAGTCAAGACATCTCCCAGCTGTGCTTCAGAGATGGGCTGTTGGCAGCTCACCTGGGGGCAAGCATCACTGGGGTAAGGTGTGGACTTGGTGCTGTGCCTCAGTGTGCCCTGTGCAGACAGGGTCACCGCTCCCAGGGCCTCCCCAGCCTCCCTCTCCCCTTCGCTAGTGATGTCCCAAGCCAAAGCCATTGGGTGAGGCTGGGAGCAGCACCCTGTTAGTTTGTACTGGGGATTTTTAAACAATAGGGACTTGCCGATGACAGCTCCGTCACTGCTCAAAAGAGGAAGCCAGGAGTTGCTTCAGGGCCCTGACCTCTTCCAGAGATGGGCCTAATCTCCAAGGGGTGGGCTGGATGGCCAAGGCCACTCCCTGCTGTGTCCCAGCAAGGCTCCAGAGGTGCTGACCCTGGAGTAAGGTAGAAACCTGGTCTTAGCCATGGCACCCCTCATTCAGTGCTGGGAAAGGTTACCGGGAAGGGGCGTTCACTGGCAACTCCCAGGTACCCCCACCCCAACTCTAGGAAGGGAGCAGCAGGACCCTGGCACTGCAGGCCAGAAAAATCTTGTTTACAGGCTGAGCACAGTTACTATTTTAAGATGATGAAAGGCTTGTGCGGAATGCGACCCCAGATAGAGGGAAGGGGGCCAGCCAGGCAGGCTGGAGGGGGCGGACTGCCACTGCCTTGTTCGAAATACAAGTTCCATAAAGCCAGCCCCTAAGGGTGTACCCAGAGGGGAGTCTTCCTCCAACCCCTAGACTGTGGCTCAACCAATGACTACAGACTGACTGAGAAAACATTTATTCTGTCTCCAAACAGCATCCCAGGGCTTTATAATACATTCGGCACAGACAGTCTGGGAGCCATGGAGCACCCCTGCCCTCCCCATGCTTCCTAAGTAACAACTGCAGAATATTTACATAAAGCTGGGTGTTGTCAGGCAAAGCCCTTCCCTGCTGCCAGGGGTGGGAGCAAGGAGGAAGTGCCGTGAGCACCAGCCCGCCCTCACGCCATGGGAGGCAGCCCAGAGGCCACCGGCATAGGGTGGCGGCCCCCAGATCATACAGCAGTGGGCACAGCGGAAGCAAACCTGAGTGAGGACACAAGAGCCTGGTCCAGCTCCGCTGCACAGGGCAGGTGTGATGGCCCCCACGAGTCTTTGGCAGAGAACGCAGATAACAGCGGCTCCCACAGCCTGACCCAGGCCAGGGAAAGCTGAGGCACTTGTCAGCAGCACATGGGTGCCTGCTGGCTTCTAGCCACTCCAGGCGGGGCTGGGGTCGTTAAAAGCAAGGAAAAACACTAGCTAAAAACCCTTTCCTAAAAGTGCCCTGGAGGAGTGAGAGGCTGACTGAAGCCCTCCGGGCACAGGCACTGTGTGGCTCTGCCAGCCCCCGCTAGGCTGGGAGGCTCTTCAGCTGTGTGTCAGCTGCACAGGGTAGAACAGGCGAAAGACGGGGACTGGCAGTTTCAGGAGGCTCATGGGAAAGTCCAGGGCAGAGGGGAGGGCCCTCTCTGTGCCCCTTCCCACCCTAACTGCTACTCAGTACACAGGGGGCGGCTGGTAGCCCTCGGTGCTCTCCGCATTCTGGGTGAAGGGAGGCTGTTGGTAGTTGTCCACAGATGCACCTGGGTAGGAGGCATAGGCAGTGTTGGGGTCCGGGGTGGGGTCGACGTAGTTCTGGATGAAGTCATCCACGCCAGCCTTGTAGCGCTGGTAGGCCAGGGAGGCCAGCACACCCTGCAGGGAGGGCACAGAGGGGTACAGGTGGGTGGGGGACCCCACCTTCTACCACCCTTTACCCAAGACCCCAAGAACCGGCCCCTGGCCGTCCTACCCAGGAGAAGATGGAAAAGAAGCTGAAGGTGATGGCTGCCCTCGCAGAGTCGGCCCCCACCAGCACGTCCTTCGGGTCGGTGGCCGCCCACTGGTTGGTGAGGAAGCAGAAACCAACAAACCACAGGAAGGTCCAGAGAGCTGGGGGAGGACGGGTGGGGTGTCAGTTCCATGGAAAGGGAGGGGCTTTCCAGGACTCTGGGAGGGGACAGGGCAGGTAGGGCAGGGCCTAGGCAGGGGCCTCCCGGGAGCCTCCACGATATGGAGCGGAGGACTTGGAAGCCGGGCTGGGATCCGCCTTGGCATGGTGGGTCCCAGCAGACAACCTAGGGGACAAACGGCAGAGGCAAAGCCCATCTGCTCGGGTGTGCTGGGGGTCCACTCAGCTTCTAGCTACCCCAGGCAGGGCTGGGGCCATTCAAGCAAGGAGAAACGCTAGCTGAAAACCCTTTCCTAAAAGTGCCCTGGAGGAGTGAGCTGCTCCCTGCCCTCCCAGAGAGGCCGAGGCCCCCCAGCTGCGGAACCCCAGAGCTAATGCGTCCCCTTCCTAGTCACCTCCCAAGATCAAATGGAGGTGCCACAGGCAGATACCTGAGAAGAGCAGGTCACCAATGACCAGGTACTTGCGGTCAGTGGCGTTGCTGATCTGGGGGAAATATGCGTCGATCACCAAGAAGAAGGCCGAGGCCAGGAAGGCCAGCACCCCGATGGCACTGCCATAGCGGCAGGCATCCTCATTGTGGTTGAATACGCAGTACATCTGCTTAGACTTGTGGGTGTTGCTGTAGCCCTCGCCATAGATGCAGGAGAACACGATCAAGGCGAAGACCTGCCGGGAGAGGAGGACCTGGTAGGGCTGGTGGCCGCCTGAGGGGCACAGTGGGGACCCCAATGGGGTGTACAGACGCAGGCCTCTCCCACTACTGCTGCCCCCTTTTGGGTTTTTGTTGTTTTTTGAGATGGAGTCTTGCTCTTGTTGCCCAGGCTGGAGTGCAGTGGTGCGATCTGGGCTCACTGCATTTTCTGCCTCCTGGGTTCAAGCAATTCTGCCTCAGCCTCCCTAGTAGCTGGGATTACAGGTGCCCTCCACCGCACCTACTAATTTTTGTATTTTTATTTATTTTTATTTTTTTATTTTATTTTATTTTTTTGAGACGGAGTCTCGCTCTGTCGCCCAGGCTGGAGTGCAGTGGTGCGATCTCAGCTCACTGCAAGCTCTGCCTC